AATGGTAGGCTTTGTATTTAGCCTGTCTTTCATAGGAGCATGGCATGTTGCTTGATATTTCTACACGTCGGCGCATTCACTTGCACAACACCTTCTGTATTAGGTAACCACCTAAATAATCGGAATCGTTCAGCTGTAGCGCCCTTTCGGTGCCTAGCTGCCATGCCACCCGAAGGAAGCAGGAGGGCTGAGATACTTCCAGGTCGTCCAAGCCTAGACAGGGGAAGTCGAGAGGCAGAAGCCGGGTTCGAACCACGGACCTTCAGGTCAGTAAATTCGCGCTCCAACCACTTGAGCCACCTAAGCTTCGATAGACTGGTTTCAAGTTGAAGCATCCTGCGTTGGGTGGTTGGGAGATAGGTATTGAAAACAGGTAGTCGTATCACCAGCTGGCGCGTGATATCCAGACAGCAGAACGCAACCAGGCGAAAAAACCTCTGAAGTCATGCAACAAGCACATTCAAATTGCTCGTATAATTCTGTGATTGACGTGAAATTGCATGAAATTCCGTACCTTAAGGGCCGACTGCACGTAGACCAAGGAGAGCACGATCGACGAATAACTGATCATACTCACTATCTCCCGGAGGAAGCCGCATAGAATCACGTAGACTGCGACTCAATGCAGACCTGGCGATGTGCCGCTACGCAACGCACCGGTGAAACCCTCGATTAGTAATAAAAACTCTGAAACTCAGTAAACTATTCAACTACCATACGTATCTGTGCCGACGCAGTAGGCTACCACAACCACATCTGGATTTTGGGTATAGATTTCGCAACCACACTTATCAGTGACGATCCAGATGCTGAACACTTGCTTTTTTATTCTTGGCAGGAAAACACTGCCTGTTAATGGCACACGCTTTTGGACCAGAGCGGGTCGGAACAGCTCGCCAGTACCTACAACTGATGAGTCGCACAGCCAAAAAGATGAAGGCTGGATTCTGGTGGGTGTTTTCTCTGCATTTTCAGGTGCATCTCAACAATTTACACGACAGACCGTTCAGGCACGTCCAGCAGCAGTAGCAGCAGCTGATAAACCGCGTCCTTGCAGTTCGAGTGGTTCTAACTGCCATAGCTTCGTTCGCCGATGTTTCTGAGAGGTGGGGTAGATAGCTACGCATTGGAGGCGGTAGCTGATATAATTGATGCACAAATACAGGAGTGTCAGTGGGGACAATGGGGAGCTGAGCAAGTTACGTCATGGTAAGAATTACACTTGGTCAGGAATGACCTCTGCAGACCTTGCTGCCACTCTCACACGCGTTTGGTCAACTTCACTCCATGAGTGAAGTGTGGCATATGCATCCAGTCAAAACAACTACTCATATCAAACCAAACATTTATGCAGACCAACAATACAAATCCAGAATTGACGAACTGTTTTATCCAGGGAATTTTGAAATTAGCATGACGGAAAGGGAGTCCCCCTCTTTCTAATCCAAAGCCTTAAAAGAGCTTCAGAGGGTCCGTGGAGGTCAGGTACAGATTCACACCAGAGATGATATCACACATATGAAATATATAATTTGCTGTAGGAGAAAGTTTCATATACTACAAACGAACTATCGGATACTTTCCGGATTGATTAATATTCATGCCAAGATTCTGTGAAGAGGCTAATTATTTCAAAGAAAAAATCCCTGGATCGATTCGCCAGTCAGTAAACAAGTGCTGCTCTAGACGATAAGCAATCGGTTGTACGTCAGTGTATGGAATAAGTATCACCAAGGCACCCATTAGAGAATTCACTGACCCCAAGCCATATGAAATGTTTTCCAAAAAAAAGCCTGAAAACGCCTCGCATCCCTCTCGCACACGTGACCCATGACCCTGTGATAGGCCATCGGGTGTTGCACGTGAGTCGACCAAGCGAACGTGCTTGTTGCTTAGTAGAATCACACACTGACTCTATCCATTCCAATACAAGATAAATTTCGAAACGCAGATTGATAAGAAAAAGCAAAAAAATGTAGTTTTGGTAAGATCATCTGGGCCTTCGTATCATTACAGCACACACCCGAATAACCCAACATTCCTCACACCTGGGATACGAGCTGAAAATCCAGTCTTGACAAGAAATTGACAGTACAGTGGTCCAAGGTAAGAGTGGCATTACCAGAAATCGGCAGTGAACTACAATTGCACAGACTGGATACAAACGTTTATTGTTTATCTTTGATGCGGTGTAATGTGGGTAGCAAAGTGAAATTCCAGTCTGCACAGAACAGTATCCGGCCATGATATATCGGAAATTGATTATTTCGGTGTACAACACAAAATGGTTAGTAGTGGGGTTCACTGGGATGAGTGACAAAGCAACGCTTTCATTCTCGAGGAAGAACCCAACTGCTGGGATTAGTAGGAGAATCCTACAAAATTGACCATATGCACTTTAAAGGTCATTGGATAAACAAATGACTGAATGGCACGCCCACTGGCCTATTGGTTGGAGAGAAAAACGATCAGAGCAAATCGATCTAAACTGATTGGATTGACTGTTAGGAATGCGAGGATAGTGGGTTGCGGAACAAACTGGGGAAGTCTGTGAGGAAATTAGGAGCAGGGCACAGTCCAAGTAGATAGGCAATGCACCCATTATTACTAGATTTTCGGAGCCTTCACCTTAGACTGTTATGATAATATGTGCAGTTCGGAGTGTTGACATTTACCCCATGTATTTCGACAAACATTCCCCTAGTCTCCGAAACGCTGTAGGGTGAGCGTGGTGGAGATGGGCAATGCTCAAAACTGATGCACGAATTATGTGATTATTGAGCGCATCATGGACTAAAGTACATTGGAAGACACTGGATGTTCTTAACTGGCATTTTCGGCTTGTACTATGGTGGCTTTAATTACTCACAGCCCCATCATCTCTACGTATCAAATTATCTAATGGAGACAGGCCATAGACCTCTACCAGTTAGGCAGGAATGAATATCATCACCGTGCCCATCTACATCATTATGAACAACATGTTGGAGGGACCTGATGCTTTCGTCCTCCGTAATTTGTGCGCGCACATGGGAAAATTGATACTGATGCTCAGCTGTCATACAACAGCGTAGGAATAGTGTCTCAAATTAGAACAAGGTGCGCATATCTTTAAACAGCACCGAGGTAAGCGCACCACAGCATCGTTCCACAGCGAAACAGTACCGGTACAGTTTCGTTCCCCCGCAAAGTCTGTCAAGACTGAAATGCTAGCGAAAGGGAATAATTACAAACCAGGGTCTATGAGGTTTCCAGCAAAGAACAGGAATAATCAGTAAACTCGGGTCTGGAAGACGAAAGACACCATAGTAATCAATTTGACAGAAGCCGCAGTTACTTTGCGTTGCAACATCCAAAAGAGTAAAAGTGAAGGGGATGTCATTTGATTGAGATAGATAACAGAATAGAACATTCCACTTATGCTGAACTGACAACCATCCTGAACAAATGATCGATAACGGTGACTGCTCGGTATCCCTGTTGATTGATAAACTAATTACTACGAGAAGCGATGCTCACAAGTGAGCGGAATCTAGGATGCCATCAAGTACCTTCCGGGGCCTTGAATGTACTATCACGAAACCCCTTGAAACGCCTGGCGATTATCGCAACGCGCTGTTATTCTGAAATAAAGGTGCAGTCTTTAAGCCACTGTAGCACCACTGCAACAACTAAACAATGGTACGATTTGACACAATAAGCTGGTTGCTCTGCTTTATTGAGCGGGTTAGTAAACATGAAGAGTATACAGTCCTTAAGTCAAAGATTTGACATTTTCAACTTCCCTGGCAAGTAGAAATGGTGAAATGACTTTTAGAAGACATGCGAGGAAGGCGAAAATCAAACTCAAACCACCGCCAAATATTACTTCAGTCATCCTAGAGCGGGCCGATACAACTATCGCAACGACCAAAGAAGGAAGTAAAAACAGACAAGAGTTTTGGGCCCACATAGAATGGTTGACGGGAGACGGGACAAACAGGAAGCAACACAACATGCTGTCTTGGACTCTAGACCTGACACAGCTGGGAACTACAGTCACTCACAAAGTTAAGTCGGTTTTATATTTACACGACTGTTTTTGACACTGTCCGAATCACACAAATGAATTAGCAATAACGAAGGTCGGCCTGATTAAAAGCTTTGTAGTACACGACTTTTTTTGACAGTGTCCGATTCACACAAATGAATTAGCAATAACGAAGGTCGGCCTGATTAAAATCAACTCTTAACGAAAATCGTGAAGCACTGTTTTATTACAAGAAGGGAATTACGCAAGTTAAACCACCTCGTTTCCAGACAAATGCGCACATAAATCGCCTTCCCGGGATCTTCTAAAACGTCACTTTCTGGAATTCGTGAAGAATAAATAATCAAGTGTTCGAATGACCATAGCTGAAGCCCGCCTTGGATACTCGGGAGAACAGTTCTCAAAAGAGCTCTCTTCTGGTTCATATCCTGAAGCTTATGTAAAGTTTTAGAACCCTGAAAACAACTCCCCAGCTCTGACCAAGGGACGCTGTAGTATGATTTTACCATAACCATTCTCAGAAGATATCAGCACCCCGCTTGTTCGAATAGGCCCTATTATTTTCCCGAACGCTTTCGATTACAGATTCAGTAAAAATTTGACGTGGTGACGCAAACTTTATCTTGTGACGGTCCGGTCCAACGAGTCAGCCATTTGGATAAGAAAAAAGTTCACGAACCAGATCCATAATCCATCCGAATAGAAGTGTACCACGCAAAGCAGCACCGGTTTTCCCGGCAAGATAAGCTTCCTCCCTCAGAGAGTGTTATTTTGGATGCATGCTGGTTCCCAGTCAGGAAGGGGGGCGACATTCCAGAAAAGACCAAATATGGTCAATGCCTTTGGCTACTCTATCCAGTGAAAAACGGATATTATGTGGTTTCAACTGGCTACGAGCGTGCAGTCAAAAACGTATAAGAGAAAAACGACTTCGGTGACTGGAACTGAAAAAAAAATACAAAAGACTAACCTGTTCCTTGTCTTTGATACGTCGCCAAGGTAACTGGCCAGAAGCGAATTCGACAAGCATATAGAACATCGACCACAGGTCATCGTGACGTCCCATTTCACGATTCATGTGCGCATTACGTGAAGCATAACGGACAGTTCCGCGGAATCCCGCGACCGGGCGTGGAGGTCGTACCTCGCCTTTAGGCGTGGTATATTGTCGAGCAAGACCAAAATCCAGCATGTAGATGGTGCGGGAATTGGTTGGTAGCCGCCCCACAGCAAAATTGGAGGGCTTGATGTCCCTATGCAAGAAACCGGCTTCATGAATCGTTTCGATTGCTTCGAGAATTTGCAAACTTAGTCTCATCGTGGTTGAAATGCTGAAAAGTCCTCGGGGCATACTTCGCCGAAGATCAGCCAGGTTTCGTCCCTAATAAAAAGTAATTCAAAAGTGGGTCAGTTGACGAACAACTTAATGGTGAAACCACCATCAAAATATACTAAGAAACCATTTGTTGTACTGTTGCGAAGCATTGTTTCGTCCTAATATGTGGTGAACGTTAGACTCAACGGGAGGAGGGTACACTGCAGTTCGGATAAAATGACTCATGACACCACAAAAAAAGTCCCACTGACAGAATGGATTTTTGCGGAGGTAGAAGTTCGCAAATACTAAAGCCAACTACGTGAGTGCTGATAAGTATGACAGATGATGAGCGTAGAAGATTCAAGGAAAACATCAATCAACAACTGTTTAAAGGTAAGCGACTAAGGCAAGGACTAATGCTCTGTTATCATGACATAAAATGCTACTTATAAGGTCAATGAAAACGCTTCGAAAGTCCACACGATTTAGACCTTCTTGTGGCTCATCAGATGAATAGACGAATTCAAAGCTTCAGAAAACAGGCGCTATACCCTACAGAATGTAAACAGTCAGTTGTAACTGAACCGTAGTGTTCAGATGGACAGCAAACCTCCTTAGAAATTCGGGAGATAGGCGGTACTGACAAGGTCCAAAAAGGATGGAGCTGTGCAGTGCATAAGCATTCAACAAGATTGATTCCACCTTCAGGATGAAATCAAGGTAAATCTCACAAAATCTTTTGAAATCCGAATACCCAAGGCGACAACGACGGTTGAAAACGCGGGGTCTAGCACACTCTCGAATGTTTAGAGGTGTGCACAGTGTAGTCACCAGAAACCAACTAACCATCCAACGAATTCAGTAGTCTAGTTAAAAAGGTCCACCACGGTTCACTAAAGCTACCGCCGTGTTCTGCCGAAAGGAACAACCACAGATTAAGGGCGACGGCCGTAAAAAATTAGCTGTAGACAATGTTAGCTGAGAACGTACAGATGCACTTTTTACAGAGGAAAAGTGGCCCACGGTCGGATATACTCCACAATTGCAAAGCAAGCAAACGGCTTAGGCACAAATTATGCAGCCAGACCTGGATATCTACCCAAGATGAATATGACGTTGTCATCCACTGGAGAGGGGACATCAAAAATGACGAGTAAAAAACTGCATTCTATCCATGGCGATCTGCACTCAAACAACACTAGTCGCGATCAAGGAAAACCCACTATCAGCCTGCGGGGTCGAAGTGTTCACTGGGCATCCGCTCACTGACATCGAGTACTGCCACGTGCTGCTTATGCCAATCGACCGACCTTCTCGAAGGGTTCTTTTCGTACGACCACGTGAAGGGTATAAACGAGCCAGAGGCGGTCAAACAGTGACTTGGCAGCAAAGTATAAAAGTCATTACCCGCAAACTCAGCTGCGCTGGTCATTGCTGCCTTTCTAGATGGGGACCCCGAGACAGGTCATATCAATGGTTAGAGACGATGTTAGAGATGGGCCATTCGCGCCCTTAATGGCGCTCGTGCATCCAAACTATTGCCTTCAATGCATAGCTCCCTTTCCAATTCTCCCGTTAAACAGTCCACTTACAGTGCTGTGTTTACGCACCAATTTATCAGCTCCCGCCTCATACGCGTATCTACAACTGGCAGCAATGGGGTGCACAGCAGCTTCGTCTATTGCGTTAAATATTTTAAAGAGGATAGGAATGATAATCGCTTTTTTTCGCGAAACACACTCATTCGCAAATTGATCTGGTTTTAACGGGAAATTCCATTGAATCCCAGATGAAGCCTTGTTTGTGATATTCTGCTTCACACACACAGGCAGTCTCATGCTTTAGCTGGCACGATATTCGGGATATCGCATCATATTCTCTTAGAGGAACGCTATTCATAATATTGCCGTCGAAGAGTTTAGAGCGACAGCGAAGAACGATAACCAGATAGTGCTGGTTGAAAGAATAGGTGTGGAACGCTTAAAAATTCGTGACAGGAGCACGTAAAACCATTCCGGAGAAAGAGTATAAACGGAAAATAAACGCCACAAGGAGAGTGGGAGCAAAAAGTAAGGGTGCTTTAGAGACTAGCGACCTGTACTTTGGTAGGGTCCCGAAATTCGGTCATTGGAAGGTGGTCTGTACACCAATGTGCCGCCAAATGTCGCAAGTAGTGAAACAACCACTACGCGAAAGAAAGGATCAGGGAACGTCGGTTACTGCGGAATGTGGTGATACAGGATAAGCAGGTGCAATGGGTAGGAATATATTGGAGTTCCTGACGGTTTCGATTTTCTCTTCGGACAGGGATTCGATAACACTAGGAAGACCAGAAATGAACGGAGAGAATAGTGCACTTCAACTACACACCTGACAGGCGCATTTGACAGCGCCGGCCTTCTTGGTGGCCAGTTTCATCTATCAAAAACAAGTAACGAAAGCGACTCGCGGTGAAAGATTACCTCGTCAGTACTGGTAAATAAAATTATTTCACCCGGAGATGCCGACATGTGGAAGGTTTATTCATACGAGAAAGCAACATCCACCACGTTCTTGAATATCCCGAAGAAGCACCCTTTGACAGCCATTGCAATAACAGATGGTTTACTTGAGACATCACTAGGATGAAGCAAAATTGAACAATTCTCATCATCCTCATCATTAATATTAAAATCATCATCATCACCGTCAATACCAACATCATCCCACTAACAGCAACTTGTATCAGATGCCTTCGCTGAGAGACTCAACTGGATTTAGATGAGGCACCTGCAAAAACTAAATAAGTGTGCGAATTAGTGCACTTCGCGAAGGATTACCAGTTCGTGACAAACTGTGTAACAGGACCAGAACCAATTGGCTAATTCAGTAGCGGATATTATGGACAAAGTGTTCACATGCAGGCAGTCCGACGGCGCAGAGTCAATCGTTTAGGATTATTAGACCGAGCTCGAGATGGCCCGTTATTCGAGGTGCGAAGCTACTGATTGTAGTATTCGCAGTTTGAACCCAACCCCGGCTTCTCGATCGCTCCTGTCTGGGATTGAGCAACCTAGCAATATCTCAACCCTCGTGCTTCCTTCGGGCAATGTGACAGCTATGCACCGAACAAACAGTATTGCTGTCCAACCGGTTGATTAAACCTCAGCCCGGAAACCGAGAGTTACACCACTCGCTGCAGCAGCAATCATCTACATTTTGTGACTAGTAGTGTATACATAGCGAACGTCATCAACCATCCTCATGGACAACATGCCAACAGTGGATAACTGGGGCTTAGCTGCCAACCAACTAAGGAAAAATAGACGGGAAGGGGAGTTATTGTGGAAAGCCTTGTATTCCTAGGGAAAACGAGAAACCACACGGTGTCCGCATCTTCCGAAAGCATTAAAACAAACATATGAGCGCCGCGTTGGGACGAGACTCTGCCCGTAGGGCTGGTCCAGATTGCTTTGCGAACCTCACCTAACGCAAGAGCAGCATACGACAAGCTAAGTGACGTCAGACCAGCCAGTAAGACTGCGGAGCTTCCAAACAAGTGCATGAAAAATAACGTGTATCCCACCGAGGAATGCGCGCGTCCCAAAGCGATCAAGCCGAAAATAGCTGCTTCCGATTTAGACTGCCCCGTCAGTCTGTTCTTTACGCGCCTTTCGACAACAAGGGTGTGGAGTGGGAAATATGGCCATCTTCGGTAGGTGGTCGGCTGCTAAACTTAGCAAATACAATAACTGCCTCAGGCTAACAGACCTTGTCCACTGCACAGACGAATCCGACTCAGCCGATATCCGTTCATGGATGAATCCATTACAACATGGTTGGCTCCATTTAGAATCTCCTATGCGATAGACACAACGGTGAAGACGTTTGAGATTTTCCGGTCGGAAGTATTCGTAAAAATGGTCTTGCAGCATTCCTGAAATTCCGCTGCGACGTCAAAAATAGTGCATGATGGAGAAAACTGCTCAGCTTTGGGGCGTGCATTGAATACATCGGTCACAGCACATTTTATGCAGCTGTCATGATAAGTAATCCTGTCAGCAGCCTATCAACTTTTTGAAGGAATACAAAGGTTAGGAAGACCTGGAGTAAGACCTTACACCTTAAGGTTAAAAGCACACCTCGAAAAAGCCACTTCCGACATGCTTTTCATAGCAATATGACCGTCAAATAACATAAACAGGTTTTCCTCATAATCTCTGAAGAAGGAATTCGATACCCACACTTACGGTCCCTTGGATATGCACTTCATGATGATGCAAGTAACGAAACTGAAAACTCTAACCGACTCCACCTGGACGGTTGATTGTATACTCTAACGCGACCAAAATGCGGAAATACGCAGAACGGAGAACATACGCGAAACCCAAGAGTATTCCAGAGGGGAAGCCTTATTTGGATTAAAGGAAGACCACCACATCTAGCTGGCGGCATACGTTACACTGTTCAAGAATTCAAAGTAACGTGAGGTGGTGAATACAGTATCTAGCTGTCCTTGTGTCCCGTATGATAGAAGTATCACTGAAGCTAATGACCGCGTTACGAGTAGGTCAATCTCTCACTTCATAGTTGATAAGGTCCCTTCCGGTTCATTTTTTCCAACTGAGATACGATAAGTGAATGAACCAAGATTTCTGGGACCTACTCACAGGAATCACCATCAACACAGACAGCAACATCAATGTTGCCAGCGATGTTTTACCACCATAAAACCACGAAATTTATCATAGTCTCGAGAAGTAGCGACCTGGTGTTAGACTACGGGGAACATTTTGAGGCGCCTATACCTCCAAACCGTCAGATAATCTGGAAAGAAACTGAGATTACGAATGCTAGTGAACTGGAATCCATTTCGGGGTTGATTTGTCATATCGAAAATGCTGACGATACCCACGAAAGATGGATAATGGTACATACCGTTTGTACTGAGCCGCATATGTATGAGCTACTCCAACCTAGTTAAAGAATTCAGCACTATCGTTGAACAGTGCTAGTAGAGGTTCATTTGGCCCTGTGGAGCGATGTTTCAAAGCGGAAAAGCATAATAAGACAAACTGAGGGCT